ACGCAGTGGGCAAGAGAGGAGGAGTTAGCATAGCGATAGGTTAGAGGCAGCCATAGCTGCCATAGCTGTAGTTAGTAGCGAGTGTGTGTTGTGTTTGAGTGTTAGAGTGATGCGTGTGGGATATCCAGGGTGATCCAGTGTATGTGAACAGTGAGATGTTTGGGCGCTGAAGTCGCCATAGCCATTTGAGAGTGAATTCGTATCTGAAGCCATATCTCTGAGTTTTGAGTGGGCGCATGTCGCCAGTGTGCTGTGTTACTGTTTACATGTGTGAAAAGTGTGTTTGAAAACGAGTCTGATTGCACAATGAGCATCAGTGTGTGTTGAGGCCACGATATTGCAATAAATCACAGTTTCACAGTGTTGGACTTTGTAGTTTGTTTTCTTGTTTTGATCCTAACCTAGAACTTGTATGTTTTGTTTGTTAGTCTTGAGACCTATTGGGCTTGACCCCCAGGTCTGTCACTGGTAGTCCCTATGTGGCAGTTTTAGGCCATTCGGCCTTTTCCTTTTGCCTTACCAGGGGCTCCGGTCCCTAGTTTTTGGGTAGATACAGATGAGCCTTGGGCTGCTGTCGTCGGAGTCCGTCCAGGTCTAGTCCGTGAGTAGAAGTAGCAGGTAGGGAATTGGTTTGGGGTCTTTTCACATTTTCGTTGGCTGGGGAAACTCTGCCCGTCCGTTGTTGGAGCGGTGCTGCTCTATTTTGGGCGAGGTCATCTTCTTCATCTAAGCCCAGCCATAGCTGGGGTTGGGAACAAAGTTGAAGATCGCACTGCTGCTATTTCGCAGCTCTGCATGAGAGCTTCCACAGGACTGTGTTGTTGGGTTTGTGCGCTGCCACTTTCCACTTGGCAGCCATATCTGCTGTTCCTCCTCTTGAGGAACTTCATCTTCTTCAGAGTGCTGGATCGGTTGTCTCCTTCTTCATCAGGACTTCCAGCGCTGCATTTCCGTGCGAGCGCTGAGCTGGCACTGCTGTCATAGGGGTTGCTGGTTCAGATTGGCTCGTTGTGACAGCTGTGGGGTAACTGTGCTACGCCACCCATAGCCAGGGGTATGCGGCGGTGAGGAGGAAGAAGAAGACTGCATACTTAGTTGAACACTTGTTTTTGGTTGTTCGGGGGGGTTGTAAATGCGGTTGTGATTCTTGGATTGATTGGAGGAGGACGAGGGATTGCAGAATTGAAATTCGTTTTTCAATTCTCAGTGTACTTTGAGCTTCCGCTGTGTTCGAGTCGACTCTGCAATTGCATGCGTGAATGGGAACCTGTGAATTCGTTGTGGATTGAAGCTCAATCGGGTACATAACAGTTGGTATCGGAGCTGCGACCGTGTGCAACCGGCGAGCGATTGAGTGGCAACATCGTTTCTGAGCGGCGGTTGGAGTAGGGGCTTGTTGTCTGCTTTCTTCAACGGACGTCATACCGCTATCAAAAAAATGAAAAGAAAAGAAGATGCGGAGTGGTGGAATGTTCATTGGAAGTTTCAGCCGGCGAGAATGGAGTTGGCCGCTGCGTCAACCCTAAGTGGACTGGCGGCGTTTGGACCTCAGTAAACCCCCCACAGCAGTAATGCGCTGGGGCCGACCTGGGGGGAGCTGGTCCGGTCGACTGGACGGTCCGACCGGAACGGTTCCGGCTCGAGGAGACACCCCCGGTCGGACTGGCGACCAACACTGGTTCTATTATGATTCATGTTGCATGCTAAAGAGGTGAAACTGTTTAATTGTTCGGCTGGCTCAACTCAAATCTACTTGTCTGTGTGGAATAGGGGCTGTTGTGATGGAAATTTTAAAACCCACACACACACACACACACACACACACACACACACACACACACATGATATTCACTATCGTGCGTGTGTGTGTGTGTGTGTGTGTGTGTGTGTGTGTGTGTGTGTGTGTGAGAGAGAGAGAGAGAGAGAGAGAGAGAGAGAGAGAGAGAGAGAGAGAGGCATACTGCGCATCCACATGGGCCTGCAGGGCCCAACCAGACGGAAAATAAGGGCCCTCCAGGCCCTGTGTCATTTCAGCCTAAAAGCCTGAAAAGGTAAACCCCCCACAGCAGTAATGCGTTGGAACCGATCTGGGGGAGCTGGGCCGGTCGACTTGACGGTCCGACCGGAACGGTTCCGGCTCCCGGTCGGACTGGCGACCAACGCTGGTTCTATTATGATTCATGTTGCATGCTAAAGAGGTGAAATTGTTTAATTGTTCGGCTGGGTCAACTCGAATCTACTTGTCTGTGTGGAATAGGGGCTGTTGTGATGGAAATTTAACCCCCCCCGCCCCCAACACACACACACATGATATTCACTATCGTGTGTGTGTGTGTGTGTGTGTGTGTGTGAGAG